ATAGATGTTGCCTTGGTTCTAGCAGATGTTGCGTTGGTTCTGATAGATGTTGTGTTGGTTCTTACAAATGTTGAGTTGGTCTCACAGAAGTTGCATTGGTTGTAACAGAAATCCAGTTGGTCTTAGCAGATGGTATGGGGTTCTAGAAAATGTTGTGTTGGTCCTTTCAGATGTTGCATTGGTTCTAGCAGATGCTGAGTTGCTTTAAGCAAATAATAAGTTGGTTCTAATAGATGTTACGTCAGTTCTAGCAGATGTTTAGTTGGTTAACACAGATGTTGATTTTGTTCTGGTAGATGTTGCTTAGGTTCTAGCAAAGGTTCAGTGGTTCTAGCAGACGTTGAGTTGGTTAAAGCAGATATGTGTTAGTTTAAGTAGAAGTTAAGTTGGTTCTAGGAGATGTTGAGTTGGTTCTAGCAGATGTTTAGCTGGTTCACGCAGATGTTGACTTTGTTGCTGACGTTGCTTTAAGCAGAAGTTAAGTTGGTTCTAACAGATGCTGTGTTGGTTTTAGCAGATGTTTTGTTGCTTCACACAGATGTTGCTTAGGTTCAAGCAGACGTTACGTTGTTTCTAGCAGATGTTCAGAGGTTCTCACAGATGTTCCGTTGGTTGCTGTGGAGACTGGAGCTGCTGCTCCGCTGAGCGAGACAATGTTACTGAAGTTGTAATAAACACATTAAGACCACACTGAAGCTGCTGTTTCTGCTGGTGATGTTCTGATGTTTGTCTGATCGTCATCACTGGATGTGACTTCAGTCGTAGGTTGTGAGTACGAGAACTGCAAGTAGAGGATGAGACGACGACTGGGCACAGTGAGACATGTGACTAGATGATCGTAATTTAGAAAAATGCAGCGCAGTGACGATGCAGATGTTTCATACACCAGATGTTTGTAAGGCAGACCCATCAGTGTGCATTAACACATGTTAGACCCGTTTGTACATGAGTCAGCTTTCACTGTGTCACTTTAGTCTGCGTCATGCCCTCGCATCCATGTGACCATATGAAAGTTTTAGTCCCACACTCGCAGGATATGGTGGCATATGCAACCATTTTGGGGCAGCCTAGTGCCCTGTAACAGATCTTGTGTTGGTTCTAACAGATGTTCTCTGTTCACAGAGGTTCTCGAGGAGGCTCTGGTGGGTTCTGATCCTGAAGGTCCTCTGTGTGAGCTGCTGTTCTTCTTCCTGTCGGCCATCTTTCAGGCTCTGGACGAGGAGCAGGAGGACTTGGCTAAAGAGCAGGCTGAAGGTCAGACACAAACACAAAATGTGTATATAATGTGTGTGTGAAATCGTTGTCTATGTGCAGACCTGTCAGAGGCTCTTGACAATGACTGTGTGTTTGTGTGTTGTGTATATAATGTGTGTATTTTTTTACTCGTGTAGGTGCAGACCTGTCGGAGGCTCTGGACGATGACTCTGATGCAACACAGTCAGCTCTCAGTGCTGTCGCCGCATTGGCTGCTGCCTGGTCCCAGCTGCATCAGGGCTGCAGTCTGAAGCAACTGGACCTGGACAGCTGCACATTGTCGGAGATCCTGCGGCTGCACATCCTGGCGTCTGGCGCTGACTGTTACCACAGCAACGCTAAGTTCCGTTACCAGAAGCAGGGCGGGTTCACACTGATGGACGACCCGTGTGTTGAGCTGCGTGTGGCCGAGCCGGCACTGCTCAAGAGGCTGACGTGCACCTCAGTGTACGACCTGGCGCCAGGTAAGTAATCAGTCACACTGTGATGATTGACTTAGATAAATATCGATCAGTTATTGATCAGTTATTGATGTGATCAGGGGAGAAGCTGAAGATCCTGCAGGCACTGGTGGGGAAGCTGCTGACGTTGGCGTCCAGCAGAGACGTGATCGAAGACTGTGTGGAGGAGCAGAGAGCCGCCAGACAGGAACTGAGAGAGATCAGAGCTGAACAGCACCGCCGAGACAGAGAGGAGGCCGCACACAGGTACACACTTTACACACAGGTACACACAGGTACACACTTTACACACAGGTACACACTGTACACACCTGTTTGTTCTTTAAGGACAAAAACCCTTAAGAATCAAATGAATTGAAAAAGTTTAAACTCCTCTTCCTTGACTTTTCTTCAGGGTCCGTCTTCGTAAAGAGGAGAGGCTGAGGGAGCAGGAGCAGAGGCTGAAGGAGAAGGAGGAGAGACTGAAGGAGCAGGAGGAGAGACTGAAGGAGCAGGAAGCGAAGGGAGGAATCCCAACGAACAGGTGGAGAAACTGACAGCAGTTCGATAATGTGTCAACATGATTTTAACCAGGAGCTGAGAAATGCTCTTATTCTGAAAAGTCAATCCACTAAAAATTTGAAGGAAACTGAAGCATTGTTGACGTGTTGTCTTTGCCTGCAGTGAGACTCCTGTACAGCAACGCACTGAGGAAGACGAGGAACAAAACTCTTCGTCCAATGATAAGAAGACAAAAGGTAAGGCAAAAAAAAACATTAAATCTCAACTGAGCTCTTTTCAGTCTCTCCTCCTTTCCTCAAAGTCATAAGTGTCTCTTCTTTTCTCCTGAGTCACGACTGTCTCCTCCTTTCTGCTGAGTCATGAGTGTCTTCTCTCTCCTCCAGCTAAAGGTAACCAGAAAGACAAACAGACAACCTCTGACCCCAAACCTCTGTCCTGCCCCCCCACCAGCCTGACTGCAGAGGAGCAGGAGAAAGAACAGGAGAAGGTACATCATTGTTCATGTCTTTGTATTCAACAGATAATGATGCTCAGAGATGATATGTGACATGATTATTGTGCCGTTACTGAACTGTTGCCTCCAGTTTGTTTTACATTAGCATTGCATTAATTAATCAGAGCAGTGGGTCACAACTGAGTTGGTGTGGAGTTATATTTCATAAAATCAGAGTGATCTGAGCGCCTTGTTCGTCCCGCAGGTTCGAGAGCTGCAGGAGAGGATCCAGAAGGCGGCGGCCTGCACCTGCCTGCTGCCTCTGGGCAGAGACCGTCTGTACCGCAGATACTGGCTGCTCCCCTCAGCCTCCACCCTGTTCGTAGAGGACGACTGCTTCGGCCTGACGGAGGACATGCTGCAGCCACGCCCTGCACAGGACGCCACAACCAAGGTGGAGGATGAGGAGGGGGTGAAGGAGGAGCCCGCCGAGGGAAGGTGAGTCACTCAGTTTGTTAAACATGAGGAGCTCCGGTGTGTCAGGGAGACGTTTCTAATAACGATCAAACCTTCCTCCTGAACAGCGCCGGCTCAAGCCCCGCCCCCCTCCAGACCTGTGGGCTGCCAGTCAAACGTCCCAACCAGTGGTCGTTTTACTCCTCGATGGAAGAGGTGGATCAGCTGATCGAGGCTCTGAACCCTCGAGGTCACAGAGAGAGCAGCCTGAAGGAGGCGCTGCTGCAGGAGAGAGACAGACTGACACAGCTGCTGCAGAATTGTGACAGAAAGAAATACAGCTACACAGGTAAATATACACAGGTAGATATACACAGGTAGATATACACAGTTGAAAATATTTATGTAAATATACACGGATAAATATATAAAGGTAAGTATGTACAGTTAAATATACAGAGATGTGACTACACAGGTAAATAAACACAGGTAAACCACATGTAAACACTCACTTGTTCTGTTTGTCCAGATGACCCGGAGTCATCCCGATCTGTCCCAGAATGCACTGCTGCAGCTGAGACTCTGATGGAGGGGAGACTTAGAGACCTGCTGCTGGACATTGAGGACAGAATCCACCAGGGAACTCTGGGAACTCTGAAGGTACACACACACACACACACATACACACACACACATACACACACACACACACACACACAGCAGGTAATCTCACACTCACTTGTCTCTCTGTCTCTTTTCTCAGGTGATGGACAGACAGGTGTGGCGCTCTGCACTGCAGGCAGGAAACTACGAGCTGCTGTGTTCTGACGGCAAAGAGAACGGAGGGATGAACGGACGAGTGGAAGCCATGGAGGTGGACTCACCTGCCCAGCTAAGAGCCAGAGACAGGTAGAGTTAATAGCAGTCAGTCTGCAGTTGTGTTCAGCAGGTTTTCTGGTTTTGATCCAGTATTACGTCAGCAAAAAGGTTCTGGGAAATAGAGTTTGTGTTTTTATTTTTCATCCAATCAGGATCAAGTTTCAAATCTGCTTATTTAATCTTTTAATCCTTTTTAATATGTACAGAGAAATAAGAGCCGCCTGCTGACTCATCTGATTTTTGTTCTGCTGTAAAAAATTAAAAGATTAAAAAAGGTTTTAAGTTTAAAATGTATTTGTCCACATCACTCTACTCTATTTTGAACTAGTTCACACTTCCTGCAGCTAGAGGGCGCTGTCTGTTAACTGAAGAACGAGAATTCCTGTTTGTCTTCTTCTTCAGTGTGTCACTGTCTGTGTGTTGTACACCATCTATGTTCATATGTACAGTATATGTATTACATTTGTGTGTGTGTGTGTGTGTGTGTGTGTGTGTGCATGTGTGACAGACTGCAGGAGCTGAAGTGTGACAGTGTGGCGGCGTGCAGCGGCAGTGGGACTCCTCAGGTGGTCAGCAGCTCAATACGAATCCTGGCTCAGGCCCTCGGTCACATCGAGCAAGGCATCGAGAGGCGCTTCCTCAAAGCTCCGCTGGGTGAGTCTGGAGCCAGAGCTGTTAAAGTGTTGAACCGTCACGATCCGGTGCATGCAGCTGCACACAAAGTTTCGCCTGGAAAACTTTTAGCTGTACACTGTTAGCAAGCTGATTGGCTATGAGTGAGTCACACTATGGCGAGCACCAGTGAAACAGTGGAGTTGGTAGACCTTCTTGCAGGTTCCCACTCAGCTACATCCTCTGCACGTGTTGGTACTAAGTTAACTTTGCTGCATAAATTAACAGATATGGATGTGTCAGCGACTCTAGAAGCGTCCATGAGTGTGGAACAGGGTGTCACAAGGAGAAGGCAGATTAAACTGACTGAAGCTGAGCTCGTATACAGCGTCTCTGAATGAACAGACCATAACACACACGAGAAGTTTGCAGTCATCTGTCAGCTAGATGCTAGTGGAAGCTAATGGAAATGTAGTTAGCAATGACTTATCACAAGGTCTGTGTATATATACCTGTCTGGTTTCAATAACACCTGGCTCCTCCCCCCAAACAGGTGACGAAGACTCAAAGAAAGACCAGAAGACAAAGAAGAACAAGAAGAAAGATGAGGACCAGGCCAGTGATGGTACTGTTGTTTGAGTCTTTGTTTGTATTTCTGTCAGTTGAATCATATTCAGTTCTGATCTCACCATGAGCTGTAAACTCGCTGTAATGTCTGTCTGTCTCTGTCTGTCTGTCAGATGGCAGTGACAGCGGTCGTGTCATTAAGACAGTGTTGGAGCGATGGAGGGAGTCTCTGCAGTCCTGTTCAAGTCTGTCTCAGGTCAGAAAAACATACACACTTCATTTATTATTGTGTCATACACTCATCTATAAGTCATCATACACATCCTAAATATGACGATGTCTCTGACCTGTGATCAGTTTGTAAAGTTCACATCATCTGTTGGATTAACACGCTGATGTGTGTGTCCAGGTGTTTGTCCACCTGTCCAGTCTGGAGCGAAGTGTCCTGTGGTCTCGCTCCATCCTCAACGCTCGCTGTCGCATCTGCAGACGCAAAGGAGACGCCGACAACATGCTGCTGTGTGATGGCTGCGACAGAGGACACCACACCCACTGTCTGAGGCCTCGTCTCAAGGTACACTGAGTATACCGACCTTGTGAGGCTCCGCTGACCAAAAGTATCTCTTATCTGATCACTTGATTAATCAATGGACTGATTGATAGAATACTTGTTTACTAAAATAATCAATAGCTGTAGCTAGGTCTGTGTTAGCATCGTGCTAACACTAAACACGTCTGTTTGTTTCAGTCGGTTCCAGAGGGCGACTGGTTCTGTCCAGACTGTCGACCCAAACAGAGATCCAGCCGCCTCCCGTCCCGTCAGCGCTCTTCTATCGACGAAGAGGAGGAGGAGGATGGAGAGGAGGAAGAACAGGAAGATGAGGAGGAGGATTCAGAAGAGGAAGAGGAGGAGTCAGAGGAAGAAGACGAGTCAGAGGAGGAGGAGGAAGAGGAGGAGGAGGAGGAAGAAGAAGAAGAAGTGGTGACGTAAGTGTGCGAATATTTCAGCCTTGTTTGTCACCACTGAGATCTGTCTCAAACAGCAGCGTCTTCTCTCTTTGTCTCTGCAGCGCCAAGAAGAGCATGGCCCCGCCCTCTAAAGGCAAGAGTCAACCGACCACGCCCAAAGGTCAACAGGCCCCGCCTCCTAAAGGCAAGAGTCAACAAACCACACCCAAGAACAGCGCCGCCGCCTCCACAGGGAAAAACTCATCAGCATCCAAGTCAGTATCCGTTTTATCTCTGATCTCAGTTTGCTGTGGCTGTGATCCAGGGTCACTAATTCTGTCACGTCACAGGTCCTCAGGTAAGAAGACCACACCCCCCACAGCCAAGGCCAGCACGTCTGCAGGTAAAGCTCTAGCCCGCTCTGGGAGTCGAAGCAGCGCCCGTCTGGGCCAAGAGATCCTGGCACCAAACGGCAACACCAAAACTTCACCTGGTCAGAGCGAGGCCCGCAAGAGACCACTAACAGGTAAACAACCAGTCAGTCAACAGTTAACACCTGCCGACAGGTAAATATCATCTCTAACCTCTCCCTTTGCTCCTCCCCCAGATGTGGCTCCTCCTCCTAAACCTTCCAAACCCATCCTCCCCCCTTCATCATCATCATCATCATCCTCCTCGTCATCATCCAGCCGACGATCCTCCGGTAGGAACCATGGCGTCCACGAGTTTTCCGCCTGCGAGCAGCTGACCGTGGAGCTCGTCAGACATGAAGACAGCTGGCCCTTCATGAAGCTGGTGTCCAGGACTCAGGTACACTGTTGATATGTACACACCTGGATACACAGGTACACACAGATATACACACACCTGGATACACA